TGATGATGATATACTATTTGGAGACATATTGGCAAATAATAAATTCGATGTAGGCTCTTCATCCATAGATACTGGATGATGATTCTTAGTTAGGACATCACGTAAAAGATTCATCGTGTGCTCATCTTCATGATTACGACGACCTGAACGACGACGGGGTGATTTACGAGGCGAGCGGCCGATATCTGACTCAGATTCTTCAGTATTCGTTGAATGATTATCATCCTCCTCTTCTTCTTCATCCGCATCCTCTTCAGTCTCGTAATGAATACCGTCTGGTAAGACACTATCAAGTTGGAAACAAAGTGGCAAAAAAGTTTGAATGAATGTTCTGATCTTTTCACGATCACTACTTGTGTAACCAGATTGTCGATCAATAAAGGAAAAAATAACGCGTGTGACATCCTTGAAGATCTCAGGGTTTTCCATCTTGAATTTAAATTGATAGGAGAGAGAGGATACGACAGCCTTCGTAGCAGATCCTTCCTTCATCTTCTTATCATGACGTAAGGCCTCAATCTCACTGACGAGGGCCTTGGGTGCCATTGCCTTTCGATCATTACTCTTAAAGGTGATACCCTGATAGTCTAATGCCTTGTAATAATTCTTAGCATCCAATTCTCGCCAAATCTTATTCCATTCACGTTGAGCTCTCTTCCATTCCTCATCCTTTTGTTTTAAACGTTTTAGTAGAATAGGTACAACCTGTGCAGGATTCGAGTATAATAACTCAATGATCTCCAGGCCTCGTTCCTTATCATAGACTTTTTTAATAATTCGTTCGTAAATCGTGACTGATTGACCACCCAAACCAGGTTTGAGACGGAAGCTGGCACGTTCTCCAGGTGTCATCTGTTCAATACGTTGAGCGATAGGTTCTAAAAGGGCAATGACATTCAAGTTGGCATCAATATGCATGTTGTAATCATAACGTTCTTCCTCACATCGATGCATGGCTTCTTCATATTGACTCTTTTTAGAGGCGACAAATCCATCATCCTCACTGGCCCAGATGGGGTGCGACACATATTCATCGTTCAAGACCTCCCATGCCAATTGATCACGACCTGAGCAAGGTTGTGTCTGCCAATCCTGAGGAACAGCACGATAACTTGGACTATCTCGTGTGGCCTTACAATGGGCTAAATCAGGCTTAGGAATGTGATGTGCAGGTTTTTCGATAGGACGTTCCTTTGGATCATAGGAAACAATCAATTTGAACCAATCATACAGTTCCTTATTATTACCTATAAAGATACCCACTTGGGCTACAAGGGTATCTAAATCAAGAATTTGTTGAGTATAGAGGTTAAGAGTCTTAAGGAACTCTTCATAGGAAGGCTTATTGCCAATATGCTTGCGAGTACGTTCAAAAAATTCTACTTCTTCAGCTGAAACAGTAGGACGAACAGGGTCAAATATAGATGCTGGATAGCTATAAGGATCTCTTAAGATAATATCGTTCTCCTTTTGATAAAGTTTTTTGGTTTTAGTTGTAGTCTGAAGAAGAAGAAAAAAAAAGATTAGGTGTAACAAAATTAAATTTTATAAAAATATATTCCAAGTAAACTTACATTATTAGTACGTTTCTTTTTACCAGGGGGAAGACTAGTAGAATCCAGATGACCTCGCTTACCACCATAATAATTAGACGAAATCGAATCAAACAAGGCACCAGATTGACCACCAATATCTGGTAGAAACTGTTTAAATTCATCTAATAAATCAGGTGTATTATGAAACAAATATTGAACATGAGCATATACTTCTTGAATCGGTTTTTGGTCTTTTTGATAGGTTTGAAGGATTTCAAGGAATTGTTTATAGACTTCTGGATCATGAGCAAAACGAGTCTACATAAAAGAGGTGAGCTTTGTTATTATTATTATTATTCAAATAAACTTATTTAAGTCTTACTTTGATTTTGTTGACATAATTGATAGCATGATTGAATTCAACTGGGGAACGTTTTTCAATACTAGAAGAAGAGGGAGTTGGACTACTACTGCGTTGAGGCGGAGGAGGAGGTGGTGGTGGTGGACGATGATGGTATAAAGGCTGATTGATAGGGCCATGTAAAGTATGCATATTAGAAGATGGTGGTGGTGGTGGTGGATGCATTGGATAATAATAAGGCTGGGGTAAATGTTGCTGTTGTTGTTGCTGTTGCTGTTGCTGCTGTTGCTGCTGTTGTTGTTGTTGTTGTTGTTGTTGTTGTTGTTGTTGTTGTTGTTGTTGTTGTTGTTGTTGTTGTTGTTGTTGTTGCTGCTGTTGTTGTTGTTGTTGCTGTTGCTGTTGTTGCTGGGCTGGTGGCATTTCTGCTATGGTTTCACGACTTGACGAACTAGTAGTAGTTATACCATTAGGCGTCATAACAGTGATTAAATCTGGTTCACGAGGGTTTGTAGAACATTCAATACGATAACCTGGTGGCAAAAATGTATTAAATCCTGAAATCAAAGTTGGATGACCCTTAAATAGACTTGAAACGCGCTCAATC